AAGAAAGAAAGAAAGAAAGAAAGAAAGAAAGAAAGAAAGAAAGAAAGAAAGAAGGAAAGAGAGAGAGAAAGAGAGAGAGGGAGAGAGAGAGAGGGAAAGAGAGAGGGAGAGAGAGAGAGATTATTTTTAAGTGTTCTATTGCTGGACAATCAAATACTCAATGACTAAACACTGAACTAAACATAAAGAGTATATTTTTCATCTTGAAATCTCCTACTGAATAGATCATGACTAACATGGCAATTGATGTAAATCACAATGAATTGCCATCATTGGTAACTATCAGGGCAACAAAAGCTAATTACTAGCTTCATGCTTACTCATGGAGAGGCAACAAGAAAGAACAATTGCAAAAGAACTCTTTGATTTAATGGGCCAACCTCCTATCCTGATGCCTTATATACCAAAAAGCTTTGAAGCCAAATCATTCAATATTAGTCTTCTTGCTATCTGGGCATCACAATACGTACGCTACTTCCAACATGTGAGACCTAGTATGAATTCACACAAGATACATTACTTTCCTACAGGACATTTTACTTTTGTTAGGTACCATCTGAATTGTAAAATATTTTTGAAGTGAATATAACGTCATAGTTTCCTCCTTCTCTTCCCTCTCTCTAAACCCTCCAAAGTACAACCCATGCTCTCTTGCAAATTCACCACCATTTAAAATTATTGTTATGTATGTGTGTGTAGTGTGTGTGTGTGTGTGTGTGTGTGTGTGTGTCTAAATACATAAATACAACCTTCAGAGTCTGTATAATGTCTCTTGTATATATGTTTTCAGGACTGACCACTTGGTATTAGATAACCAGTTGATTTTCTCTTCCCATGGGAAGACTATTTCTCCTGCTCTCAGTATTCTGGAGTTGCCTGTAGTTCTTTGAGTAGGGTCGAGTCCTAGGGTCGAGTCTTCCCTTTATTCCCCTATTCATTGTGGCAGAGGGGACCAGAAAGCTATAAAAGCTAGAGCTAGCTGCAAGATTCCCACATCTCCTCAAAATGCAAGAAGTTACATTCATCCTTTTAAATGTCAATAACTTAAAACCTAAATTAAGACTAACATGTCCATAGTCAGATAATAAAACCTTTTACAAATAGCTATGGGCTTGAGTTTTTTTTATCAAAATTATTATACCTAATTTTGTTTGTAGTTTGTTGTAGTGGTAAGAATTGAACTTAGGAGCCGGGTGGTGGTGGCACACACCTTTAATCCCAGCACTTGGGAGGCAGAGGCAGGCAAATTTCTGAGTTTGAGAGTTCGAGGCTAGCCTGGTCTACAGAGTGAGTTCCAGGACAGCCAGGGCTACACAGAGAAACCTTGTCTCAAAAAGCCAAAAAAAAAAAGGAATTGTACTTAGGTCTTTCCATATGCTAGACAAATACCCACCACTAAATTCTAAATTTCTGGCCACATCTCAGGGTTTTGTTATAATTTTTGTTCTTCCTGATCAGTTTGAATGATAAGGAGTACGAAAGATTTAATAATATAACAATCCAACATTTGAGTCTGCAAATGTTCTGCTGAATTTTTCAGTTGAGTAGGACTCATTCATTCACATATTCCACAAACACTGTTGGTCAGAAGATACTTCTCGCAAGTGCTGAGTGCTTTGACTAAGATGTCCCAGTCTTCAGGGAGTGCCCAGTCTTATGGAAACTGTCAGTAACATTGTAATGTTCTTTCATGGGCAGAATACGGTTTCATCAACTTAGACCCAGCTGCCTGCAGGAGAACAGGCAGATAATTGTTCTTTTAAATATCCAAGTATGCTATTGAATAGACAGAGGAAAATTGAGATCTGCTGTCCAAGCTGCCCCTGATTACAAGCATTGTGTGTACTTCAGGGCTGGGCTCCAATTGGCTGACAAACAGAAGCTTTTATTGTTTTACAGTATTGAAGAGAACTGGTATAATTTAGCCCTGCTCTGATGTAAGGTTCACGGTCATTGCCTAAATGACTTGCTAGACATAGACCAGAAACAAACTACCAGCACCAGCCCTCTCTGTCCTCTACAGTTGCTTCTGGATCTCCTCTCTGAAACAGTAAGACTCCAGAAGCTTCATGACTTTGACAATCTGGGTTCTCAATGTCAGGCAACATAACCAGGCTTAAGTAAATCTCTTAAGTCACTAGATATTACATAATGTGACAAATGGGCTCTTTTTAAGCAGATGAGACTGTTCTGGGCATGGGATACTTGTTTGTCTAAGTTAATCCCCCAATTCTGCGTCACCAGCACAAGAGACTCATTCTCCTGAGAGCAAAGTTTCCGAAACACTGAGATGGCACCATATTCCAGCTACATGATACTGTGGATTGCTTAGTTTCTTTGGAGCCCTCAGTTTTTAAAAGAGAAGAATATTGGTATCATCTTTATTTATCTCATGTTTGGACTGTCATGTTGGTGACACTCTATGGGTGTGCCCTCTGATATTACTAGAACATTTGATCTCACAGCAAACTCTGATCTTCTGCCTCTTAAAATATTTCTGGCCCCCTCTCCTGCAATGTTCCCTGAGCCTTAGATACAGGAGTGTTTTGTAGATGTATCCATTTGGACTGGGCTTCACAGTTCTGGATTTTGATTTAGTGTGAATTTCTGCAATGGTCTCTATCTGTTGAAAATAGAAGTTTCCTTGATGAGGGGTGAAGGCTACACTTATGTGTGTGTATCAAATGTTTGTAAGTTGTTGTTAGTGGGTTTTCTGGTTTAGTAACTTAGTGGTTTGTAGATTCTCCTCTAATAGCCATAATTTCATTAACGCTGAGTAGTTGGTTAGCTTTCCAGTACCAGGCACAATTTCCCTCTTATTGAGCAAGTCTTAAGTTCAATGGACATGCTAACATGGATATGGAAAAACACACAAGTCTTCAGCTCTACACAAAGACCTATAGGCAACTGAGGAAAACTGAGAGCTGGAGACATGGTCTTCCCAGAGAATAGCGAACCAATTGGTTGTCCAGTGCTAAGAAGGTCAGCCCTGAAAACATACAAGTAACATTATACAGACTGAGCAGGATATATTTAGGAATGTGACAAAATTAGCTATTACATACATGCATATATATATATATATATATATATATGTATATATATATATATATATACACATATATATGTGTGTACATATGTGTATGTGCACATGTGTGCATGTGTGCATGTATGTATATGTGTGTATGTGTATATGTGTGTATGTGATTATGTGATTATGTGTCTATGTGTCTATGTGTCTATGTGTATATATGTATATAGAGGCCATGAATTGGAAGGAAAATATGGAAGAGATCTATGGGAGGGTTTAGAGGAAGGAAAAGAAAGAGAAATAAAAATTTTTAAAGGGAAGAACAGGTGTCCTTGCAAATAAACTCCTCTGAGAACAAATCTGTATAGCACATATCAAACATATCTCCTTAAAGATAGAGAATTCTGTTGTCATTGTTGTTGCTAACACTGAAGGTTGTATTAGTTCTCCTGTGACTACTGCAATAAATTGCCATACACTGTGGGGATTAACAACATGAATTTATTCTTTTAAATGTCTGCAGTTTGGAAATCTGTGGTTGAGTTTTCTCCAGGTCCATGCTTTCCCTCCTATATTGTGATGCGCTCCAGCAATGCTTGCTTGTCCTTGGCTCACAGGGGATTCTGTTGATTGACACCTCTGATATCCTCCCTCTTGGTGCCTGTTTTTCAAATTGGCTGTTTTCTCTCCATGAGTTTCTGCCCCTCTTCTCTTCTCTTCTCTTCTCTTCTCTTCTCTTCTCTTCTCTTCT